CGAATCGCGGATAGTGTGCTCCTTTTACAACTGCTGCCCGCGCTTCTCCGTATGGAGCGCCGTACTTGTGTGGCAGCTTTCCTTGACTTCTACAAAGCCTACGATACCCTAGATAGAGACTTTCTGTTCGCGTGTCTGGATGAATTGGGTGTAGGTGTGGGCTTTATTGCTTGGGTTCGACGTCTGCATACTAGTACGCAATCAGCGGCGATTGTCAATGGTTACCTTTCGTACTGGGTTCTTATAGCGGCTGGCGTCAGGCAAGGCTGTCCGCTTGCCCCCATCCTATACCTTGCGCCAGCACAAGCATTACTAACTTGGCTTCAATATCAACAAATCGGCATAAGTTTGCGTGACATTCACCTCGCTGCGTCACAGTATGCGGATGATTGTGGTGCCTTTTTACGTCGCCTAGCGGACATTCCCCGCTTCAAAGCTGTCATGGATGTTTTCCACGCAGCCTCGGGACAACGACTCAACGATCGCAAGGTTGAGCTCTTGCCGCTTGGCACATTCACCCGCAATACAAGACCGGCGGACTTACCACCAGCGAATGCTATTGGTAATCATTTAATCATCCCGGTTACTAACCTAACGCATATGGCGAACTCTGTGGGTAATGAACAAGTAGCAGACGAGGTTGAACAGCAGCCTATTGTAGGTTCAGTAGTTGGCGATTTCAGGGTGCTCTCAGTAGCTACAACCCTAGGGATTCGCGTCGCAGATAGGCCTTCGCTCGAACAGCAATCGGTTTCGCTTTCTCCTGTGAGGAATAGCTTGCAGTTAGTCGCTGGGATGCATTTATCAGCTTTTGGTCGAGCTTTTGCGGTATCAGGTTATAGCATTAGTAGAGTCCTGTACCACTTGGAGTTTATGGGGGCACCTAGCAACACCTCGATGAATAACCTGCTGGGAGACTGTGCGGCCGTTATTGACAGGCGTCAACCGCCATCTGTGCGGGACAATGCTGAACGAAGACGGGCCCCGGGTGTGGGAGTTGCATACATGCCGTTTCCTCCTGCCATTGGAGGTTTCGGTCTTATTCCTTTGCACGAACATCTGCGTGCACGATTTGCCTGTTTGTCCTGTCGTGCAATCCTTGGTATGGCTGGTATGTTGGAAACTAACCCCATGTGGACTCGGGTATTACTGGCAATATTGCGTCATATCCACCCGGCAGCCCACCCATTATGTCTGTTGNCCGTTAGGGGAGATGTACGAGATGGCCGTGTCACTACTATCCTGGGTAGGCCTGTGCCGAATGATTGTCCGGCATTAACACGAATTCTATCAGCTATGACTTCCCTACCACAACCTGTCCTTCTGGATGCGCAACATCTAGCTCCGGGTCCTTGGTGTTACCATATCCCTCTTTGGGGAAACCCTTTGCTAAATGACGCTCAGTTGGACGAACATTTTGGTGATCTTAGAAATTTGCGTGGGTTAGATACCGTAGGTATGGCCGTACGATGCCACACAGCTATGTCGTCTACGTGGAATTTGGTGCGCATGGTTGGTGTACAAGGCCTTACTGAGGCGCAACACTTTCATTGTACGAATCTGTTTCGTACTATCGTGGTACGGGGCATATTAGGGCTTACGCCGAGGCATCCCCTGCCGGCATCGTGTCAGTCGGGGGCGACTGCCATAACGCGTATATCGCAACTTATCGACCGCCTACCCCCGCAATGGACCATAGCGGCGATAGTAGCTATTAATGACAGAAACCATGAAATACCGCCTCCGCAAGAGGCCTGGAAAAGAATTGTCAAAAGCTTGGGATGGAGATTTGGTCAAGTGTTACTGCATTTCTCTCAAGTAACGGTTAAATTTGCGACGACTTTACTAATGGCACCTTCTTTACGAACGCTTGATATCAAACATGAAGATTTTATTTTGGATGCTGTTGATATCGTCT